GGGGGTGGGGTGGGCGGAGAAGGGATCATGAGACACGGAGCCAGGCCCCACCCGCAATCCAGTGGCCCGAGCACCTGCCCCAGGACCATTCACCACACCTAGGATCTTCCTCACCCACCGGAGAGTGAGCGTGCGCTTGCAGCAGCTCTGACAGGCCTCCCCCGCAGATCCCGGAGTGCCTGCTCTCCCACTCACTCTTTCCTCATTCATCCACCCGAGCTTCCATCCACCCATCCATTCATCAAGCAGCTACCGGGCCCACTGTGTGCCAGGCACATTCGAGGGATGGGGAGTTACACCAGATCACCAGACAGCCTGGCTCGAACCCCTGCTGGCCACTTCCTGCCTGTGACCTTGAGCCCCAGGACTTTAACCTTTTGGGTCCCAGTCTCCTCATCTATAACAGCAGCTCTACCTGCCGGGTTGCTGTGGCAGCAAAGTATGTATAGTACTCAGCACGGTGCTCAGCATGTCACATGCTCTCCACAGAATTCCTTTGCTGCCTCTGGTCAAGTTTTTAAGTTAAGAGGACACGTGTAGCCCAGCCAGTGTGGCTTAGTGGTTGAGCATCAAACTATGATCCAGGAGATCTCTGCTCGATTCCCAGTCAGGGCACAGGCCCGGGTTGGGGGCTGGATCCCCAGTTGGGGGTGTGCAGGTGGCAGCCAATCAATGACTCTCAACATTGATGTTTCTCTCTCTCTCCCTCTCCCTTCCTCTCTCTGAAATCAATAGACATATTTTTTTTTTTAAAAAAAGAGGACACGTGTACTTTGATGACACCTTTCCCAGCTCCTTGACTCTATATATACTACGGCAACACCTGCCCAGGTCCCCAAGCATATTGTAACATTGCTTACTCGGCACTGTCCAATATGGTGGCCTCTAGCTGCCTGTGGCTATTTATATGCAAATTAATTAAAAATTAAATGGAACCATTCAGGCCCTCAGTCTCACTAGCTACATTTCAAAGTGCCCAGTAGCCACCTGAGGCCAGTGGCTCCCACGCTGGATGGCACAGATGCAGAATGTTTCCTGGTTGTGGAAAGTTCTAGTGGGCAGCGTGACTTCTCTGTCCCCTGGTTCATCTCAAATGTATCTCCTGTGCCCAGTGGGCAGATTCCAGTAAAACGCAAATTCCCCGTGAAGGTGGTGGCGGTGGGGTTCTCAGCAAGGCCACGAAAACCTGCCACACGTTTAGGTACTGCTCACATACCTAGTAAACGCAAACCTATTCCATGTTTCTCAACACCACCCCAGGCATGCTCAGGTACGGCTCCCAAAGCTTGACGTCACACTGTACCTCAATATTACACACCCTTACCATGCCAGGCACCCCAGTACGCAGCAGAAATACCCAGACACCCCGGTTCCAGCCCCACGCCCTTCAGAACCACCAGGAACTCCAAGACAAGCAGGACGCATGGCGGGGGCACCGGCACCTGGAGGCCCTGTGACCCGCCCCGCACCCAGAGCACGCGCAGACCCCTCGGCATCTCCCTGGCTCCAGCACACTCTAATAATAGCGCGTATGCTCCACGGCACTCCAATTACCTACCCACACAGACTCGGCAGAGCAGCCCTCCGCGAATACTCCAGTATATTTCAGTAACAGCCCCACACACCCCAGGACGCTCCAGTAATAACCCCCACTCGATGTCAGTATATCCCGGTAACACGCCCCCGAACGCATCCCAGCGCCCGCCTGTAACACCTAATGTGCGCCTACCGTATTTCTATACCC